TTGGAGAACAGGCCTCAAGACAAACAAAAAAATGACCAGGCCTGCATACAACCCTAAAGGACAAGATAAGCAGTAATACCTGGCTCAATAAAGTTTAGATAGACATCAGTCACTCTAGTAGGTTACAAAGATCTCCAAACCTAACATTTCCTAGAAAAAGTCTTTGTTCTTTCTCTGCACACTTGTTATGTGACTTGTTCCCTCATTGGATCACTATTACCTAAGCAATTATACTTATAACCTTATTGGTTGTTCATAGCCTTAACCTATGTTATACCCACATGGTTTTTGCTCTGTAAAACTTCCCCTGGAAAGTGGGTCCTCAGCTACTCATTTAGAATTCTCTCAGGAGCTATATCCTCTCAATAAATATTTCCTACTTTTACCCTTCATTGTTCCTAAAATCCATGCTTTGATTTTAGAGAACATTAACTCAGCATATCAGACATCTAGTAGATTGGGAATTATAATTTTTCCCTTATATCATGTAGAGGTCCTATTTCATCTCCTACATCATCCCTGTGTCACTAGGATTACAATATGCACCACCATGCCCAGCCACCTCCACCTAATCTTATGGAACCACTGTTATATATATATATAGTTGGTGGCTGACTGAAACTTCGAGATTTTGTTCATGTTTATAGTTGTCAGAGAAAGCGTTTCACCCAGGACAGAAAGTGAAAGTCTCTGGGATGGAACTTGGGCTGTGTCTGTGATACTAACACAAAGTCAGCATTGAACCTTTGCATTTGCCTCCTTCCCTGGTCCCATTTCTTAATACCAACATCTGTGATGTCCATGAGCTAAGCTCAGTCCCTGGAATCTTTGCCCTTCAGTATTCCTTCCCTCCAATAGCTGTGGAGAAAGAAACAAACTCAGCTTTGAAGACTATCAGGATCTAGAAATAAGCCTGCTTAGTGACCACCTAAATGTGGCACTGGAAGAGAAAAACAACTCACTTGTTCAGTACTAGTATTTGTTGCCCTTCCCAAATATTGGGAATACCACGGCCCAAATCCACCCAATAGTTTTGCACAAATAATTACACCAAGACCAGTGTCCACCAGACGGAAAATAGTTTAGACATCTGCTGAGGGATCAGAAGGCATACCCTCCCTTGATACCTTGCCAAAAAAGTAGTTAGACCATTTGGAAATACATTGGTTTATTTATTTTTTTTCTTTTGTGTTTCACATTCTTGGAGGCTTCATTTCCTTTCTTTAAAAATCCTGATGATGCTAACATTGGTAACAATACAATTGCCACTGGCATTTTGGTGTCTATTTGTTTTTTTCTCCAAACACATTTGCATACCAACAGCTTCTTCTATATTTCTATTTTCCTTTTCTATTTTTTTCCTTCTTTGCATTCAAAGTAGTCATTTGTCCCAGGAATGCTATATGGATCACTATTAAAACATTTATCCATAAAATTTGTTAAAACAATTAAATATACAGGCAATGAAAATGCATTTGATGAATTTCAGCAGTCACAACAATTGCTGAAACAAACAGAAACATGCAGAATGCCCTCAACTTGATAAAGACTCCTATCAAAGCCTAAAATCAAACATCATATTAAAATATGAAATAGTAATCAATCTCACTAAAAGCAAAAGAAAGCAAGAATTCTTACACATATCATTTATATTTAAAATTGTTTTGGAGATTTTAGCTACTGTAATATAAAAGTAATAAAATTAAACAAGTAGTATAAATTTGATAACAGACAATTATAATTTATAGATTACATAACCATATGCCTAAAACACTCTAGAAAACATCCAAAATTTTAAAAATCTATTAGAGTTAAAGAACAAAATTTACTTTCAAAGTAGTTTAATAAGTACACAAAAATGAAAAATATCCCTGTTTCTAGAAGTCATTTAGTATTGAAAAGAGCTTTAAAATTCCATTCATGATTAATTACATTAAAAACTAAATTTCCAAGAAATCAACCAAAAAAAGCTCTATGTGAAGACTACCATGAAATCCATAAAACAAGATCTTAATATTATGGATGGGAAGTTTAATATTACAAAAAGTCAATTCTTTCAATATGCATTAACTTGCTATAAAAATCATAAAGAGTTCTTTAATGGACAATATGATTTTAAACTTTATAATGAAAAAAATCACTAAATATTGCTGAGGCAATGTAAAAAAAATGAAGAAGGGAGAGATTATCCATGAACTGGTACAATCAAAATAGTACGATACTTATATAAGAATGGTCAAAGAAATTATAGAAGAGTCCAGAAATATATCCAAATATGTATAGGAACTTAATATATGATGAAAGTGGTATTTAAATCCAATCATGAATAAAAAGTTTATTTCACAAATTAAAGCAGAAAAATTGACTATTCATCTGAAATAAAATAACATTAATCCTTTACATAAGACTGTATATAAAAATAAACTTTAGATGGAATAAAGATCTAATATAAAAAACAAAGCAATGAATATTATTTGGAGAAAATTTAGAATATTTACATATTATTTGGCAAGAAAGGAATCCAAAAGCTATTAAGAATTTTAAAATTAGTCATTTTATTTTAAAACTTTTAATTGTCAAGGGCCAGGGATTTAGCTCAGTGGCACTGTGCCTGCCTCACCATCACAAGGTCCTGAGTTCAATTACAAGTACCGCCAAAAAAAAAAAGTTTTAAATGTCGAAGTGACAAAAGACACCATAAATAAAGTCCTGTGATAGACTGGAAAAAAAATAACTGAAAGTAAAAGTGTAAATATTCCTATTATACAAAGAAAGACCAACTAATTATTTATAAATCAAATAACAGACAAAAAAATAGGAATGACACAACCAGGAGGGACTTTAAGAGAAAAGGCAGAGTCAATAAATGTATGAAAAACCACAACCTCACCAGTGAACAGAGAAATATTAAAATAAAATAAAATGAGATGCTGTCCTTCACCTGTAAATCAGAAAAAATGTAAATATCAGGGAGACAATCACTGTTCCGAACATTTTGTATATAACAGTTCAATTAATTCCATCAGCAATCTATGAGATAGATGCTATTATTATCCCATTTTGTATATTAAAATCCTCAGTGAATATAAACCTCTCTCATATTTACTACTGTATCATAGGTTACTTTACTGAAAATTGCTGGACAGGATCCAGCCATTTGATTTTCTGATTCACAAATCCACAGTTTGATAAATACTGACCTATAGTGATTTTCATCAAATATTAAACTATAATCTCACATTTCTGAGTGATATATATACTCATACCTCATTTTTGGAAGAAGAAAAGAAAGACAGGAATGAGGGAAGATGCACCCTATATAATATTAAGTACTTTCTAAAGACACATACATGTGTTTGTGGGTGCAGAAATGTATCTATCAACTGAATTTGTTGACCACCTCAAGGTTTGGGCATGGTAGAGGAGTGCCTTCATATATCTCTGTCTTGTTTGTCAGGCTGTAAAACAATGTCTAATTTTTGAAGTTTTTGAGAGCAGTTTAACAAACTTGAACAAAAGAATTTTGCAATCTGTAAACTTGTGTGTTCTGGGATAAAATCTATGCTTTCCTAACTTTATTACATCTCATGCTTGAATGACCCCCATTCAGCACTTAACTCCTATTTATTAAAAAAAATAAATCTTTCAAATCCATCTATAAAACCTACTGGGAGATGGATAAACCTGATTATGGTGTCTTCCTATCTGAGGAGAAGGGTAAATGATCATTCTCACCCCAAGTAATAATGCAATTGAATGAAAAAAAATGAGATCTCCATGGAAAAATATCTAAGAAGAATCATAAAAGATGTTTATAGGAGAGAAGTATAATTCCATTTGAGTGAAATTTCATTATTTTTTCAAACAACATATACTTGGTTTGATTTATTTACCTGTTCAGCATACCAATTGCTGACTCTATATTTTGCAACTTATTGCTAGAGGTCTCCCTTATAAACCAGAAAGTTGAGTATCTCATTTAGGACTTCCTCTGACAGAATTGTTCATGATTCCTGGGGACTATATTCACAGAGTACGTATGGCCGGGGATTTAGCTCAGTGGTGCCACCGCCTGCCTTGCAAGTGCGAGGTCCCGAGTTCGATGCCCAGTACCAAACAGAACATATGGCTATTTCCTTCTTCCAAATGCTAGGAAGAAAAATTATAACTCCAATTTTCAGCCACTGGCTCTGGTTGTTGTTACCACTGTTTGCCAGCTCCATCTAATGGCACCTGTAGGGACTGCACCAACCTGCCTGCTGTGGAGTTAGATGCAGACATGGGAAACTCGGTCCATTGAAATGAGAAAAGTCACTGAAGATCCGGTGTGTGAATTTGCAACCTCTTTTTCTGCTTCAGAGATAATAGAAGCAGGAGTCAAGAAACAATGGGAATTCACCAGCCTGGATCCTCACTATCTAAAATGAACATAAAGAATGAGTGTGGGACAACTATGTGTTGTGTTCGCCACAAAACTTGAACATGGTTGTTACCACAGTATAATCTAGCCTGTTCTGACTGATATACTCCATGTGCACCCTAAATCTTAATCACAAACTCCTGGTGTGCAATACAGCTAAGACTGTTAGATGACAATTGAAAGAATATTTGTACACTGCTGTAGTGATAACTTTGCTCTCTGGAAACCCAGCAGACCACAAGTAGTATACATAGTAGGCTTTGGTACTGTAATATTTGTAGCTCCACTCAAATTCTTAACCACTGCTCTCGGAAACACAATCCCTTCCCTGGGTGACTAGTAAAGAGGATCTTCAAGCCAGCTCTGCAGGAATTCTCCCTTCTACTTGGATCCAGGTCACCAGGCCACCTCCTTCCCCACTGAATTTCCCTTTGAGATCTTTGAAGTCCTTGTCTGATCAAGCATCTTGGTCAATACCACTTTGGACCACTTTATGTTTCATTTCAAACACTGGGGAAAAGGGTTTTGATTATGATCTCTTGCCCCTAGAAAATTCCGAGTCCCATATGCAACTAGTGAATCGCTTCCAAGGAGTTAGTGACAAGCCTCCGACAGGCCCCTGAGAACTGATTGTGCGCATCTCTTCCCAGCTTTGCCTTCTGTGACTCAGGTTAGCTTGACTTCCACCACAGCTGGAGTGTTTGCACAATAGGAACTGGCAAGTGCTACAAACTGGTTGCCCCTCAGCCTCTGTGCCACCTGGGAGAGTCAGTTATTGAACGGTTAGGACCACAACATTGATCATACTCATCCTTCTCACCTATAGGTTCAAACTACATCACAATTTCATAATTAAGAGGACTCACTAAGATGATTCTTCCTGTGGTAAGGAAAATCATTCTATCTTACTTTGCTATTTGTCCCTACGACTTAAGAGTCACTGGCTTCCTGCTTTAAATCCTACCTCATTTGAAGTTCATTTATAAAGAAACTGTATTAATATCTATTATACACCAAAATATGAAGAATACAGTGACAAACTAAGCAGAAAATTTCCCACCCTGTTAGAGATTTATAAGTCTTTAAGATAAAGAGAATTTACTGACAACATAGATTTTTTTTTTAGTATCATATCCATTATTTGTAATTTTTGTTCATGTAAGTTTCCTTCAGGGTTAATGAATAATGGCCCAACTCAACATGGCCAATAAGGACTTTTTTTTCCCAGAAACTTACATGGATTCTGAAAACATTAAATGCTATCAATCCTTCAGAGTATGGGATTCAAGAACATTATTAACTAGAAAACACTATCACATAGAGATAGTAAGAAAATGAAGTCAATACAGATGAAAGCAGATCCAAAAATGGAAAGGGAGAGGGATAACATGCAGTATCACTTACTTAAACCCCATATCCATCAATGCTTGAACCAAACCACCTCATGTAGTTTTCAGTTATATGCACCAATCAATTCATTTTGGCTTAGACTAACTCATATTGAATTTCTATCAGGTACAGCTGATGGAGTACTGACTAACATTATGTTATTCCTAAGGGAGAACTTAAGAAACAGGATTTTGTTCCTGGTGAACTTCAAAGAGTGGCAGCCTAGGTACAAGAAAAGTGTGAGAGAATAGAGGAGACTTTAGGGTCCTGAAAGATCAGAGAAGCCCCTAGAGTGGCCATACATGTAAGAAGCTCTGGTTTCTGAATCCCTCTTCCCTTGGGCTTGCAGATACCAGTGCAGAGGCATCCAACCATCGTGTGTGTGTGTGTGTGTGTGTGTGTGTGTGTAAGAGGCAGGAGGGAAAATAGCTTTAGAGAAAGCACCCTAGGGTAAAGAAAAACAAGAGAAGGGTAAGATTCTAGAAAGGCAGGGCAACTAACTAAAATCTTTGCAAGCTTAGCTTTTACCCTGTTCTTGGTGATCCTTAATAGAAGCAATGAAGGCAGACTAACTTTCTCGTAGGTTCAAAATTGTCAGCAACACCCTTTGTCTGCCCCTTTAGTCTCTGCTCCCCTTTCCTTTCCCCTCTTTTCTAGTGTGGGAATTTCACTGTGCAAATAGGTACCTGAACTGCTTACCAGTGTTCTTTTGGCATAAGAAATGACTTTCTTTTTCATTCATTTCCAGCTTTTCAGGGATTTGGTGAACATCAGTAGAATTAAGAAATGGTGGGCTTGGAATCTAACAGCAGAGGGCTTTAGCAATAACAAGGATGTGAGAATATCGGAGATATCAGTGATGTTGAGGTATATAGACAGAATGGCAATGAATATCATAACATTTCATTTACTCCTTTGGGTAAAGGCTCAACTTCCTCACATTCAGACAATGGAAGAAAAACTCTAAGAAATCACCTTAAGTCATCACTATTCTTCAGTCTGGAGTACTCGGTCTGAAATGATAATCTCCATAGATCCAAAAGCCATCCAGAAATCCATACAGGCAGGTGGCAGGATTATTCAGCTGTATAGAGTGTGTATTTCCATTTATGGGCAGAATTTGCTGTGGTCTTTTGACATTATAACTGCTGGTTAAAAAAAAAGAAGTGAAACTACAAATTACATCCTAGGAAAAATACACTATGAATCTATCTCTGATACTTTCAGACCAATAGAAATAATCTCACTTCCAAGAGAAATTTACAAACGGTGCTAGAATTGTTTGTGCTTGTATGGCATCTGTAATGAGGTGGTAAAGCAGACTATGCTGATGGAAATCTTCCTTTGGATAACAGGCTTTAAAATATGTGAAATTATATGAATTATGTGTTCATAGAAACTCCCAAGTATCAGTGTATCTATCACTCCATGAAACTATTGAAGGAAAGGCAATATAAATCAGATTGATCATTTGTTTTTCCCTTGATTCAATTCCTTTGGACTCAGACACAGTGCAGAACACTGAAGACACACAACAAAAATGCACTAAATGATAACAATGCACTAAAAAATAACAAAAATAAACCAAAAGGCAGTATTTGACTTTCAAGTTCTACTGAGAAAGACAAAATCCTAATACCACAGGATACACACTAGAGAATTATGGTAAATGGAAGAAAAAAACCCTGCATATCTAGGTTCACAAAGCTGATAAGAAACAGGCATAAACACCAGTTACTTGAATGCAGTATGTTGTAGGAAAGACTTATCTGAGATAGAAGAAACTAACACGAGGTTCCATCTGTGACTGTCACCAGACAATTGAGGTGTTCTTGTAGCATTCTTTGGCGCGCGTGTGTGTGTGTGTGTGTGTGTGTGTGTAAATTTTAATTGACAATAAATACATCTACTAGGCAGAAAATATTTGCACTCAGAGCAGTATTGAAACACAGGCTCTCTTTATCTTTTTGTCCATGTTTCCAAACACAAAGCAATTTCTCTATCTTGTTTAGTTAAGTTGATTTTAAACAGACTATGATTTAGAGAAAGAAAAGAAAACCAAGTATTTCTTGCAGTTTCAAGTCATTTATCTTGATTAAAAGACAATTCTGATAGCTAAACAAGCCTGTCCAATTTAAACTTGAATGAAGAAAGGGCCTTCATCCTAAGTAATAGATGATCAGTATTTTTAACATAAAATCTGAGTTGAAAGGATGTCATAGAAATATTCAAAGACATCTATAAGTGGACCTATTTTTGTGTTGATACAAAAACAAAAACCAACTGACCAAGAAACCAAACACTGCAATCCTTTCCGGCTGTTACCTGCTTTCCATCCCACTATGCTCCCAGGTCATGCTGCCTCTACTTTTCTCACCTTCTTTGGTACCTCAGCCTGTCTGCAGTCAGCCCACTCCTCCACTACTCTACCAGAACCATGTCTTCCCAGGTCAACAGTCCTGTCCTCATTCCCAAAGCCAGTGGTGTCTCTTTATCCTCATTTTCTATGAGTAAGTTCCATAGTTTGACTGTTCTCTTTCCTCTGGGCTTAAATCCTTCTAGATTTTACTCTTTGAAAAACACTATTAGGCTGGGGATGTAATTCTTTTATAAAATTGCTTCTTTATGAAAGAAGAAACAGCCTTGGAGAATCTTGTACAAGGTCATCAAGCTGAAATGTGGCTTTTATTGCTGGTGGCCAAGGAGCTACTTTTAGCTACTATATTCATGCAAACAAGAAGAGCTAGCCCCAATTTACCTCACCAGCTAATCATTTTCTTCATTTTGAACTTTTCCATCTTAAAGGAAAAAGTTTTACCTAAGACCTTAGGCAAGACATAGAATTTTTTTTTTTGCAAATATATAAGACTTTTGTGTACAGTATTAGGTAAGCTTTTCCAAAGTTTTCTTTAAGAAATAAAGCAAAACAAGCCTATAAGAAACTTAGTATTATCATCCCTGTGTTATAGTTGAGGAAATAATGGTTGCAAGAGGTTGCTCCAAATCTCAGAATTCCCTCCTTTCCCTGTTTGCCTTCTGAATTAATTGTCTCCTTCTTCCCTTTCCTCTTTTCGTACTCTGACTAGCAAGACCTTAACCTTGCACATGGCTTCAACCCTACATGAATCCAGGTCTGTATCTCTTGCTTCTTTTAATTCTAAAACTATTTATCTTGTTCTGCCACCTGCCTTGCAATGACAAGGTCCTGAGTTCGATCTCCAGTACAAAAAATAATAAATAAACCTATGTATCTATTATAATGAGTCATCATTAACCAAAGAAGAAAAATTACAAAAAGACTATAAATGTGGTTATCTTTCTCAAAAATTTAAATATCTTGCCTATGTCCTTCTCATCCAAATGAAACATCTTCATGATTGATGCTGAAATGGGAGTTATCCTAATTTTTTCCATCTCTCTCTGTATTGTCAGATGTCAATTTCCTCTGAACAAACATTCCTTTTAAGTCTTCTCTTCTTTTTTTTTAATCTTGGTTAATGGTATACATCTACACACACACAGATACAGCTACCACCTTGTATCTTCCATTCTAATGCCTCTTCAAAACTACACTGAATGGCCGGGGATTTAGCCCAGTGGTTCCAGCGCCTGCCTTGCAATCGTGAGGTCCTGAGTTCAATCCCCCGTACCAAAAAAACTACATTGAAATTTCCAATTGCCTGATTATTCAAAATAGAAGAGATCGACATGGGGAAAAGAGACAGCCAGTAAGAGGGAGCCAGATTATGTAGACGTTAAGAAATGAGCACGATGTCAACTAAACCAAGAGAAAGGAGCACTGTTGAGAGTGGAATTAATGGGTTTTCCTTTCCATGTTTCAGAAGTTACTCCATCCAAACCAAAAGAATGGCATCCATCATATTTTCTCCGTCAGATAACTAGCATTATAATAATTACTTTTGAGAGTCTAAGTATTTCCACCATACAGTAGAGAAATAAAGCAGAAAAAGACCATCAGCATTTTTATGTGATGACTATATTCTATTGATTTTTCAAAAGGTAATGGAAGTACAGATAGCTTTGCTACTAACAGTCAAAAAATATTTAGAACTTGAAGTTATTTTCTACTTGTTACACACTTAGAATGTGTTTAAGTGTTGGTTCCAGGAACGCATTTTGATGTACTGTCAGTGGCCCCAACTTTAAGATCACTAAGAGATACTTCAAATGTTTTTAAAGTAGATGAGGCGTATATCAACCAATTGACAAAAATCATTTGATGTGTTTTGCTTCTATTGCTACATTGGACATAGAGAAAAGAAAAATCTGGTTTTGAAAATATTCTGAGCACAATAATGTAACATCCACATCAGCCCGATCATACATCAGTTTCCAAAGTAATTTTACATGAATATAAATTAAGGTATTCTTTTGCAGCTCTCTTGGAGATATGTGAAATATAGAATAAATGCTGTTATCACAGTTACATTAATACATTTAAAATTTAAGACATTTAAGTGAGATTTTGTTCTTTCTCAAAAGTTCTTATATTCCCAATTTTTTAAATGGCTCGTGGTATTTTAAAATTAGATAATATTCTGACAAGAAACCATAAATGCCAAAATTCTGCTCATCTTCCTCCCTGTGCAGTTCTCTGAGAAGTCATGCTTTGAAAAGATTAACTAAATGTGAATGATATCAGTAATTATATTAATAATTCATCTAACCCAGAAACTCCTTATACAAGGCCATCTGGTAAAAGTTGTGTTGAACATATGCTTAGGAAACCTACAGACCTAAATGGAGTTTCCAGTCTTTCCTGCTGAATCCAGCATCTACATGGGGAAAGTTGACCACAAGAGATGAGCTACAGCACCGCAGAAGTTTATTCCATGAACGGAGGATGGAGTTCTGTCCACTTCCTGAAGGCTCTGATCTCTTGAGTCCCTTTACCCACAGAGCCCACGGATCCAGCCACTGGCAGAAGAAGCATTACCGTGCAGAAAAAGATGTGGAGAGTGCCACAAAATAACACTCCTGGGTACAGCGTCTTAATGTAGTACTATTGTGCACTACACAGTGTATCTCTGTGATTACCTCAGCTTCTGGCCAATCAAATGAACACAGGGTGGGAGCGGCAAGGGTTAGGGTAGAGGCAATGTGACACGAGGACAGGGGGCCATCCCATCACACTGTTCTGTGGGACGTGTCATCGTAAGTGCCTGGCCACATAGGGACAGTTTCTGTTTGACACTTTCCCTGTACTTCACTCACTCTCCTTTGGGCTTCATTCCTCCCATAATGCTCTGTTTCCTATCAGTCTGACAGATGATTTCTTCTTCCTATGCCCATTTTGGCATTTCCCGGTCCCAGTCTTCCCTGCTGTAGAACAAAGCCAGGTGTTTTCTGAGGGTAGAGTAAAGCCTCCTCTTTCTGACCTTTGCCACCTCCCAAAGCATCATGTCCAGCTACAGAAAATATCTCTTCTGTGAGACCAATTACAAGGCTTGTGCTCTTTTTTTTTTTAGTTTAATTATTTGTTTTTAAATATCTGTGCTCTTGAAAGAATCAAATGACAGAAAGACACAAAGTAAAACATAAAAATGTTCTTACCTTGACATCTCTGCGTCACCCGGAAATACTGTTAAAACATTTGTTGTGCTTTCTTCCAGATCTTGCTCTACACAAAAAGAGGGTGTGGAGTATAGTAGTAGGCAGCTTTCCCATCATTGAGACAAAATACCAACACCTGCAACTTAAAGGAGGAGACGTTTATTTTGGCTCACAGTTTTGTTTCAGTGGGTTCAGATCATCGTTCTTAGCCTTCAGAGCAGAAATGACATAGTAGGAGTTTGGAATAGAAAAGCTATTCATGCTATGATGTCCAGGAAGTGGAAAAAAAAAACAGAGGAACTGGGGATGAGAATATAAGTTTCAAGTCATGTCCCTAGTAACCTGCCCCTTCCAATCAGGCCCCACCTTCAAATGGGAGAATTCGGGGGGATATTTTAGATCTAAACCATAACATGGCCTGAGAATGATTATTTTTCATATAAATCTACTTCCTATTCTGTTAATATTTTTCATAGTTTTTTTTAATGATTATCTTTTCAAGTTAGTGCATTGATGTCTTTTTTACTTTTTATAACTTTATAAAAATAGTAAGTAGTATATCATTAAACAGTACAATAAGAATTTGATTCAAACAGTAGACTGAACATATATATGAAATATATTGAATATACATACACACATATATTTGTTTTATATATGTGTGTACTTATCTATCTCTAGAAAAGTAGATAGACAATTCACATCTTCACTGTCAAAATCCCTGAAAAACAATAAAGTATAGCAGACAAACAATAAAGTATAACATGTTAAATAATTCTTAATAAATAGATAGCAAAGGAAGTTATAAAAATTGATGAAAAAAAATCAAAAGAACTGCATTTTTTTAGCACAACTAATATCACAGTAGGAATGAGCCTCAGGCAACAATGGAATATCTTACTTACAAAGTACATGTTTAAAGGATCAATTGTCAGGCTCTCCCTCATTCTCTTTTTCATCAGGAAAGTCCTAAATCTATCCTTAGCTGCTGGATTTTCAACTCTAAGATAAATGCAGAGAATGAGCCTTTACAGGAGAGGCTTACCAGGGTTGGGGGAAGGAGGAGATCCACACTGATGCTTACAGCAACCTGAAATCATTTGAGACTTTCATAGACACAGAGATGGTTTGCGATGCAGGAGAAAGAAAGATACTGCTGCTCAGAAAGTAAGATCCCTACATCCATACTGGAGATCTCCTTATTAGGACAATTTTGTGTAGCTACTTTGTTCTATACCACACCTCTGAAGAGGTTCTTTGCTCTGAGCAAGTTCAACCCAAGAGAAGAGCTGGCAATTTGCCTTTCCACTCCTGGAACCTACAGGCAAAGGAACACAGCCTAATGGAAATTGAAACAAACCTTTACTGGGAGATAAGTTTATTAACTCCCATTCGGAGCTGGTTGGTGAAACTTGGGTGAAAGAAAGACCTCAGGCATTTCAGATGCCTTTGTGCCCCACTCTTCATCCCTATGTGAGCACGCACCTTTCTGAGACACCGTGATGACCTTTTAATACAAGTACCTACATCTAGATCTGGTTTACCCCAGCTTTGGGAAGACTTCCACTTTTCAGCAGAGAAGACTAGATGGGCCAGAAGATGACCAGTTTCCAACAAACCATGAAGGGTATAAATGCAATACAACAGAAATTTCTCGCCTATCAGCTGTGAGGTGTGTCTATATACCCTCCAAGGGACAGAGTGGGACAGAGTACCAATACCTGCTGAAGTCACCTGTTCATAAGCACACCTGATTTCTGAATGGGCTTGCTTGTGCTCACTTAGGCAGCATATATACTAAATTGTATGGGCTCGCTTTCCTTTCCTTGTCAATCTGACTTCGCTGATCCTTCCCAGGACTTCCCAGGGTCACATAAAAAATAAATATCTTGCACTTGCATCTTTTTTTTTAATTGAGTTTATTGGTACATTTTAGGTATACAGTATAGTTACATTCATCATTGGGCTCTCGTGCCTTTACATGACAGGTCTTGGCTCTCATGTTTTCCCCTTGTCCCTGCCCTCCCTTCATTCCCTTCTCCCTTCTCTGTTTACAAACACTTTACTTCCATTTTATCATTTTCTCATATTTTTTTCTTTTCCCTTATTCCCTTTCCCCTACCCTTCCCACTTTCCCTACACCTTTAGCCCTTTTCTTCCTATTTCACACTGTCATTTATCTCATTAGTATCTTATGTACCATTATAATTTTTCACACCAGAGAAACTATTCAGCATTTACACATGTGTGACTTATTTATTTCACTGAGGAGTATATCTCAATATGTATCTTTTTCCAATGAATGACTCTAATTTCTCATTCTTTATGACTGAGTAGTATTTCATTTTATAGAAAAACCACATCTTCTTTATCCAGTTTCCAACTGATGGGCAAACAATCTGTTTCCAAATTTTAGCTATTACAAACTGTGCCTCTATATACAAGTTACACTTGTATCTTTATCGCAACGTCTCCTTCTGGGGGGCCCAAACCTAACCCTAGGCATTGAGGTCTTCTCTATTTGCAACTTTTTTCCTTTAAATTTACAAAAGTCTGAAAAGCATGTAATTAATCTAGGGATAACTTTTATTTTCAGAGGACATTAGAGTTGTTTTTTAAAAATAACAACCATTAGCTTTATTTTAAAAAAACCATCTGACTTTAACTGTGATCCATCTAACCTTCTTAGAAGACAAATTGATAACAAGGGTTTTCTTCTGAATTACTTGGTAGAGACCCCATTGGTCACATGATTAGGAAACCCAGGACTTTCTTCTTAAGATCTTCTTTTCTCAACCTTTTCATGTATTATTCAACAAGGAGAAGAGAAATAGAAAGTTTGACCAGTTTTCTAAGGGGCTTCGGCTGAATTTGCTGTTGCTCTTATTTCTGCCACCAAAACTAGTTCTTTAAACCTTTTCTCCCTCGATACAAGTACATAGCCCTGAGTCAAGCTCTCAGTGACTCAGTTCCCAGCACTGGATTCAGAAGTGTACTGAGCCCAGGCTCAGCCTTGGGACTCATTTGCACAGCCACAAGGGATACCCAGGTGTTGAGGGAAGTCTCAAGCATCTGCTCTGAGGAGACCGTCTGCATTTCCCCAGGCCAAAGTGCAAGTGAAAGCATCTCTTAACAAATATCTAACACGCATTCTCACTCGGCCTCTGCTACGTAAGTGAATGGATGAAAAACTCTTGAAAAGATAGATGTTGAAATATACGTTTCATTTCTACAAGGTGAAACTGATTTTTCTTTTTGTTTTTTGAATTTTCTAAATATGTTCCATGAAAATTTATGACTTTTATCACTAGTACTTTGAAGGCTATGAATTAGGTTTTGTAATGTAATGAAATGTAATGTTTGCTACACATTTTTATGCACCAGGTACTTCTTCTGCTCTAAAAATGAATAAATGAACAGGGCAGACATATGTTTCTCCTCATGGGCATTGTAGTCAAGTGAGGGAGACAGTTCCTAAACAAATTAATACATAAGTACAGAATACAAAATCAGATCACTGTGGTGACTCTCTGTGAAAGAGAACAATGAAACAATGTGGCACAGAGAGTGACCCACGCAAAGCACGGGTCAACAGATAGCGTCTTCGACCCTTTTGACTGCGTAAAGCAAAGGACTATAGACTGGATAGATTTATAAATAACAAAAAAATCTTCCTTACAGTTCTAGAGCCCGGAGGTCAGAGATCAATGCCAACATGCCTGGGTTCTGGAGAGGGCTGTCTTCTTAGTTTCCAGATAGCTGGCTTCTCCTTATATTCTCATGCGGTGGAAGGAGAGCCGCAGCTCTCTCTAGAATCACTTTTATAAGGGCACCAATACCATTCGTGAAAACTCCACCTTCAGAATGATCTATTTACTTCCCAGAGTCCCCACCTTCTAAATGGGTGTTAGGAATTCAACATACAACTTGAGGAGGGACGGGAGGAACACACATTCAGTCAGCAACAAGTGGTTACCAACCACTCAGTGAAGGAAGTGTCAATTACAAAGGAGTTATGGTATCTTTTTAAATTATTTTTTTACACAGATCTTTGAGAAGAAATTCATGTTTACATTTCTTTTTAGGCATAAATGTTATTATTTACCTTGTGTATAAAATTATATAAGCCAGGTTGGTTTATCTATTAGAAATAACTATAAAAATTTTTCCAACTAACTTCAGGTTTTGTATATGCCCTCTTTCCTACTCTGATGTTTCCCTCTCACCTCTGACTTCTACTTTCCTAATCCCCCAAACACCCTCTGAAGTGTCTCAACAGCCTCCACAGTCAGTGCACTTCGCCAGGGCCACAGTGACCACTGAGCATTCACCTCCATTCTTCAGAGCTATGTGTCAAGTGCATGACAGGTCACCCTTCATCATAAAATGCCTCAGACAAGCAGCCAGGCCCCAGAGGTTAAGATTCCAAGTAAACCCTTCTCACCCTGTGGATAAGTCACTAAGATTAGCTTCTTTTTCAGATTTAGCTGCTTTGTGCACCATTGTTGAACGTTAATTATCATTACTATTATTATTCAAAGTAGCCAACTCACCATGTAACAAGAATACACAAGCACATTTACTTGTACTCCTGTCCTTTAGAAATGGCCAAACTGGCTCTCTCCTTCTTCCTAAGTTTCTTGGCTGTTTCCAAATGTAATGCAGAATGTCCCATGAGTCCCCTTGGTAACTCCTCCAACGTGGCTTGGAGCAACATGGTCTGTACCTAAACCACAGCTCTCAGTGATGCCTCCAGGAAGGACAAGGATGTCATGGTTGGTAAGAGAGTAATCTGCTTATAGGAAATGCTTGTAATGAGGCATCATAGAAGACTTTAAAAATCATTGTATAGGTAGTTGAACTAGAATCATTCCTGTGAAACAATTGTTCTGAACTTCTCTTTTTCTTTACTCTTATTTATTTACTTTATTAGTACACATTTGTAATTCATGCAGTTTGTAGTCATCTTGGGGAGTGGTTACATGTACATATTACAGCTTTTTTTATCCCCTACTTTCCCCTTCCCCCTTCTCCTCTGATTCTCCAATCACCTTTTTCATACCTGTTGATACTATTCATCTTAGCTCATGCTATGGCTTATAATATTTACATCAATCAGAATTTTTAGGTTC